ATCTCAATGACTTAAGTGATCTCCTGACTTTTCCTCTAGCGCCACCATGAGGTTAACATTTGTGATTTTTAGCCAAATGTCATGACAACTTTCTGCATGTGCCCATGTGTACATTTATCTATTTATTTTAGGATTTTGTACAGTTGGGAGTTCTGGATTAGCAGAGCCAGCCAATCATCTCCCATTCTTCTGCCAATCACAGTAATGCATGGCACATGGATGGTCAATGCTGGCTGGTGCAGCAGAGGAAGGGGGGGCAGGTGTGGCTTTAATCTCTGTTGTTGTTGAGTGAGAGCGCTGTTTTCTATGAGACACTGTGACACGCCTGTAAGTTTTCTCTGCACTGCTTTAAGTGGTTTAATAAACTGATCAATTCAAGAACATTTGTCTCTAACTCATGGTGAAACATTACAGTGAGCGTGTGTATGCAGAACTGTCAATAAATGAATCACAGAATCCAAAGTTTCCAGCTCTCTGGACATGAGTTTACTTTTAGCTGAAGACAAGTTCACCCATTCAACCTTCAGTGGCTTATATAGCTTTATTTGTTTAGCTGAAAGCAACTACAGTTATGGTACAGTATACAGTAATGTATACAGTTATGATTAAATTATATTGACCATGATGGCTGGCTGTTTGGCTGTATAGACCCTTGTTTATGTCATCCATCTCTCTCCAGTCCAGAAAAAAAAACTGCAGACGTCATGAACCGATTCTACAGTAATAGCAACATTATAATTAATCATCCCGGTAAATTAAAAGGCTTCACCTGTCCAGTGTTCACAGCAGAGTGTTGTGCTGAGCAAGTGAAGATCACCATGGTGACAAACTTGACCAACTCTGCCACGGTGGTAAAGCTCTGTGGAATTCCTGAGAATTAGAGGAAATAAACTGCATGAATTAAAGTTGCCTAGATGATTTAAGTTTGAGTTATCTTTGCAATATGAGCATGTTATATAAAATATTAATGTGCACATCTCTCATCATTAATATTGAGCTTTTCTTTTAAGCCCACCTGTGCCTTCTTGGGAAAGGAATCCGTGTTCAAAAATGTCCCCAATCCACCTCTGTAGTTCGTCGTCTTCCTGGACCTCATCATCATGCTTGTAGTAGAAGCCGAGCACTCCCTGCACAAACCTTTGAGGAATATGAATAAGTTCTGTAAAACACATTCCTAGTTGATATTTTTCAGAAATACTGCAGTAGTAAAGCATAACTCTTTTGTGAGGCAATTTAATGTCCATCTCTTTAGTACGATCAGTTCTGTTCTTTTTAAGAATTTGGTGCAATATATGACAATGTTTGTTGAGAGTTAGATAAGAAGATCGATACACCTCTCATATTTGTGCACTAAATATAAAGCTACAGCTGGGTGGCAATTAGCTTAGCTTAGCATAAAGACTACAAGTGGAGGGAAGTGATTAGCCTGGCTGGCTTCAGAGTTCAAATAGATGCCTACTAGCACCTCTAAATTTTAGTAATTGTAAGAACAAAAGCTAGCTCACAGGGCTCTAGGGAGGATAAGGATATCAGGATATTTGGAAACCATGTTGTGTATGATCACTTGTTCAAACAGCAAATTGTCTTTGCACAAACAATATGTATTGTGTCCCTAATTCTAACAGCTGCTCTGTACAGTAAATTGTTTGACATGCATTTCCAGTATACTGGAAAAAACAACCTCAGTCAACTGTAAGTCATCTCCTGATCAGTAGTTGCAAAATCAGTCTAGGCTCTCTCTATAGGATGGCCCAGCAGCACGGCATTATTTACAAGAGCACGAAGCACAATTTGGGGAAGAACTAAATAAAATGAAATCTCTAATTCTACATTTGTATTCTCAGGGTGCTTTCCTGGTAAACTTCCTCTCCCTGCTGGAGCAATCTCTTTAACACAGATCTGATGCCTCTGTGCTGGCCAGCTGATCTGTCCTGTCTTCATTAGTATCATTAGTTGTATGTGATTCACTTGGACGCTTGGTTTCTAGCAAACAGCTACATTAGTTGTGTTTCATGACTTTTTTCCCTCAAAGTAAATCCTGTACTGAAATCTAACCCTAACTCTAATCTGAGACACACACTGTGCAAATCATGGTCATTTTCCACCTTGGTGTACTTAGGGCCTCTAACTGCATTCTAACTAACCCTGATATGGTGTAGGTCTTTACAGTGTTTAACATGGCAGCTACATGTCACTAAAACATACATGATGATGGTAACACTTTACAATAAGGTACACAAAATTAGAGTAGTTACTGATGAACTAATGAGGAACTTATGAGGAACGAATGAGTAGTTACTAGGCCCGTTTCCACCACAGGAACTTCGGGGTAATTTTACGGGGCCGGGGCCGTTGGTGCGTGTCTCCACCGCAGGAACCACCCCCGAAGGACAGAGTTCCGGAACTTTTACAGGGGCTAAACAAGTCCCTGCCTCGGGGTAGGTACTCAGAACGGCCCCGAAAGACTCCTGGCTGGGGCTTGGGGATTACTTGGTGCTGATTGGATATACTCAAGGAGGGATGTGACGTCAACAGAAAGCAACAAAATAGCCGGCATTTTTAAAACTCAGCAGACGAGGGTTAGCTCGTTCATATAGCTTTCGCCGCCATGTAAAAAAAACTCACTAAATGGCCCGTGAAAAAAATATTCTTTCCAGCGGATATCTTAGTTACAACATGATTGAGCTAGCAAAGCAGTTTTGTGTTGATATTTGTGGTATTTATTCAGTTTTGGGAAATCACAATGTCTAGAAAGCATCAGCTAACAGCAGCAGCAAAGCTAACATCAGGACGTCATCTGTTAAAAGCCTCCCGTTGTCGGATACGACATGAAACTACTCCAGTTAGCTCAATGATGTTGTAACTAAGACATCCGCTGGAAAAAATATTTTTTTCACGGGCCATTTACTGAGTTATTACAGACACCGCTATTGGCTAACGGCGTCCCTACGTCGCCCCGGTCAAAATGGTCGCGCAACGATTACGTCACATCCAGAGGCAGCCCGTAACTTTACAGGAACCTTCCTCGTACTCCACTCAGTGGAGTACGAGGAAGAGAGGGCCGAATGAGAGGACGTTCCTGTAGTAGTTCCTGCCCCCCAAATAGTACCAGGAACTTCTTCAGTGGAAACGGGCCCACTGAGGAACTAAGTTACACAAAATTAGAGTAGTTACTGGGGAACTAATGAGAAACTAATGAGGAACTAATGAAGAACTAATGAGGAACGAACAGTGCTTAATTTGAGCCAGAACGTACTGGAACGCAGGATCTTTTCAGAAAAGGCCCTGGTGCGTTCCGGAACTAATTTGCATGGGTCTAGAACTTTTCGCATCTAAAAACTACATACAGTATTGGCTGATGTCACTAGTGTTGCAGGGTATACTGGTAATGGTAGACCGCGGTACTAAAACTCCACAGTAGCCTACGTATGATAGTTCAAAGTCCAACCGCAAGACGGTGAGTGTCCATGCGCCGTCCCGGCGTGCGCTGGTCAATAACGGCGTGCACTGGCCAACTGGCACTCAATATGCTGCTGTAGTGGTTTGTTTTCCAGACGTGAGTATCTTTGAGCAGTGAAAGTTATTATTTATTTATTTTTACTTGTCGGCAGTGATTTGTTTTCCACAGAGCTCTACGTGCAAGCATTTTACTCGCATTTGCGACTAAAAATAGTTTTGTGCGCGCAAATTAAATCATTCAGCTCGCTGTGTGAGTACAGATTTCAACCAGCAGCAGAAAGGGAAATCAAATCCTGCCGGTTTGCCGGTGGGTTGAACGGGGGTCACAGACAGGATACGGCGGTCAAATACGGCGGAGGCTCATAGTGCTCCGCGCCACAACATAACGGCTTACCGGCGAGTCCGACTCCAGGTCCAGTAATTTCCTCTTCTTGGTGTCATGACTGCCCAGTAGTACCTGGACAACTGAGCAGTGGCAGCACACAGGTATGTGGCATGTCAGAGGAGAAATGAGCCGTTCACATTTCTCTCTGTGGCAGGTAACGGTCCACAATTAACCTCACCGCACTTTAGGGACTGTTCTTTACTTATGAAGGGACTGTTCTTTACTTGTCAGGGGAGGAGGGTGGCTGGTTGATTTTTATTTTATTTATTCATTTTATTTTGATCCCCCCCATGTTAATCACTTATTGATGCTGTTTTTGAAGTATGAATAAGTCAATAAGTAATTTATTCCACTGAAATGTCATTGATGTATTATAGAAAAGTGATTTATCTTTTTATAAATGACAAAAGGCACATCTGCCTCATTTTTGCCATGGTATTGTGATACTACTCAGAACCGTGATACTTTCACTGGTATCATACCGTGGGTCCCAATTTTGGTACGGTGACAACACTAGATGTCACAACCATTCCATTCGGAGTCGCGCAGTGAGGTGGCTCGGGTGCCGCTTAAAAAAGTGTTCCCCACTCCCAAAAGTGGGGGAACACTTTTTCTCAGAGGCCCAAAGTGTTCCCCTACTTCTAATTTTACAAATTAAGCACTGGGAACGAACAAGTAGGTACTGAGGAACTAAGCTACACAAAATTAGAGTAGTTACTGAGGAACTAATGATGAACTAATGAGGAACTAACTATTAGTTAATGGTCAGTTCTTCATTAACTCATGATCAAATTTCATAGAGGGGTTAATCATGACTTAATAATTAGTGAATTAGTTACTTCATCAGTACAGAATCATTACTCAATAACCTGTCCATTAGTTAACCTTTTTATGTCCTAAAGTAAAGTGACACATAATGAGTAGTCTTTCATTACTTCATTATCATCTTTACAATTAGTTCCTTAACAAAAATAATCAGACAGCAGGATTCTTGAGAAGAGTTTAATTCACTATTTTCAGACCACATACACATTAATATGATCATCCATGTTATTCTGTACAAGGTGCTGACACACCAAACCAACATCAAAGAACTAGCGGCAACGAAAGCCAACAGTTGCATCGTCTACGTCGCCTCACGTCACCCTGTGTCAGTTGCATTTGAACACACTACAAAGACTACACCCGACGCTTGAAACTGTTACTCATTTATTTTGGCACTGCCCCATTGTCAAAAGACTCTGGAGTGATATTTGTAATTTTATTGTGAACAATATTGAAAAAGAATTTAAGCTGTTTTGGAGGGATGTACTGTTTGGACTTTTTGACTTTAACAGAAATACGGCAAAACACAATGAAAAATTTATTATTAATCTCATCTTACTTTTGGCAAGATTTCACATTCACAAATGTAAGTTTACACATAGAAAACCTTCTTTTGTTGCTTTCGTTACATCAATTCCATTAAATTTCCCCTTAATCAAAAGGTAATCAAAACCATTAATATTTGTGATCATTTTAATATTTTCTTGTAAACTCTTTTCCTCCTGGCATATGTGATATATGACATATATGTGTAATGTTGAAGATCTGCATTCTGTAAACTTCCTGTCTTAAATAAAGTTGTGAAAAAAAAAAAGACTACATCCGACGGCCAAGTAGCACGTACGTTCTGCGCCTGCGTGAAAGGAAATAACACAAAAAGTGAAACCGGAAGTCCGTTGAATGCATGAGATCAACAAAGTAGCACGGAGTGACAGAGTGATACATCCTGTCAGCCGAGGGGTTTCCTATCTGTGCAGCCGAGCAACACAGCACCTCCACAGACTATTACATCCAGACGGTCCCGGTGTTTCCTCCACAGGCTCCACTTCACTCAACTTCACGCAACTTCACTCAGCTTCACTCAGCTTCACTCAGCTGCCCAACAAACCCGCTGCTTCTTCCCACTCTAACCTGAATAATAAACCAGGGCTCGGTGCTCCGGTTGGATCCAAACAGAGAGCCGGGGCTAACGTTTGCTGGGAAGCTAGCGGAGGCTAACTGGCTGTGCTTCCCTCCGGTCATGCTCCCAGCTAGCTTCGGTTTGTTATTCAGGTTAAAGTGGGAAGAAGCAGCGGATCTGTCGGGCAGCTGAGTGAAGTGGAACCTGAGAAGGAAGCACCGGTTAGCCCCGGTTTCACTACAGGCAGATTCACTCGCTACAGGGGCGAGGAAATAAAACCTGAACAGCCAGTCAGAGGGATCTCTCTCACCGACAAGCTCCGCTGCCGATTCAACATGCTAAATCAGCCGAAAATTTGGAATGAATGATGAACTATTAGTTAATGGTCAGTTCTTCAGTAAGTCCTAATCAAATTTCAGAGTAGTTACTGAGGAACTAATGAGGAACTAACTATTACTTAATCATTTCCTATCTTTTTTGTGTACCCTAAAGTAAAGTGAGACATCAAAATGAGTAGGTAATGATTCCCTACTCATTACCTACTCATTTTGATGTCTCACTTTACTGTAGGGTACACAAAAAGGGTAGGTAATGATTAAGTAATAGTTAGTTCCTCATTAGTTCCTACTCCTCTGAAATTTGATCAGGAGTTATTGAAGAACTGACCATTAACTAATAGTTAGTTCCTCATTCATTCCAAATTTGTTTCATAGTAACTACTTTAAATTTTGTGCACTTCAAACAACTGTACTGTGAACAACGGTGTGATCAGTACATAGTACGCAGCCCCCATGATAAATTCTTTAAGCTTAGCCTACCTAAAATGTGACACACTATCATATTTATTTCTAAGGCATCATCGTACAGAATAACATGGATGATCATATTAATGTGTATGTGGTCTGAAAATAATGAATAAAACCCTTCTCAAGAATCCTGCTGTCTGATTTTATTTGTTAAGGAACTAATTGTAAAGATGATGATAATGTAATGAAAGACTACTCATTATGTGTCACTTTACTTTAGGACATAAAAAGGTTAACTAATGGACAGGTTATTGAGTAATGATTCTGTACTGATGAAGTAACTAGTTTACTAATTAATAAGCCGTGATTAACCCCTCTATGAAATTTGATCATGAGTTAATGAAGAACTGATTGTTAACTAATTGTTAGTTCATCATTAGTTCCTCAGTAACTACTCCTCTGAAATTTGATCAGGGGTTACTGAAGAACTGACCATTAACTAATAGTTAGTTCATCATTAGTTCCTCATTCATTCCTCATTTGTTCCTCATTAGTTCCTCAGTAACTACTCTAATTTTGTGTACCTTATTGTAAAGTGTTACCATGATTTGTACCAACGTTATATTTATTAACAGAATGCAGAATCGAAACTGACTATAATACCTGTGGATGATATCCCAAAGCTTGAGTCCATCATCCCTGTAGTAGAAGTTCGGCACATCCTCCAGCCCACGCTCAGTGATGTCCTCTGGTATGCAGAGGGAGGTGTAGGTCACTGAGGACAGTGATCTCTTCAGGAGTGTCACCATACCCTCTCCACCAGAGGCTGCAAACTAGAGTCAGATACTACAGTCAGATATGTCAGGAGTATAGTTAGAGACAAATACTGTGCATGATGTTGAAAACAAACATTGTTTGGGTGATGGTCTACTGAGTGTTGGTCTTTTGTACCTTTGTGAAAACTCCAGTTTTAGAAATTAGTTTAGCTCTCGCCAAGAAGTTGATATGCAGAGTGTATCGAGTGTGAGGTACAAGGACCTGAGAGAATGAGGGAACTCTATTAGTAACACTATTACATGTTAACCAAGTCAGTAATCTTGATGCTTCTATACCATTTAACAGTGAGAAATAATAGAATATTTACACACTAAAACACTATGATTCATCAACTTTGGATTATACAAGGAAAAACTACAACTACAGCAAGTACCTTGTACAGTGAATGTGTCCTGGGCACACTGCGCAGCAGTGACACTGCAAACACTTCAGCCAGCAGATGAGTGCGCAGCAGGTGGACATTGAGTTCGTGCTCGTTGAAATCTGCACTTCTCACAAAAATCTTGGCCGTCAACCAGTCGTACTCAGAATCAGTAGGGAGGAAGATGGGGTTGTCTTCTGCTGGAGTCTGCTTCAGCTGCAGGAGAAGGAAGGAGGTGTGGTTCATTCAATCCAGTATATCCAATACCAGTACTGGTCAATAATATTTACGAATTTTCTATAATTGCATTTTTGCCTATTTACTACAGGTACAGGTTTACTACAGGACTGCTTCTCAGTCAGATATTCTGTTGATCCTTTGCGGGGAAATTGTGTATTTTCATTAAATTCCAGGTCGGAGCACAGAGTCAGCTTGAGAAGATGAGCTCTACATGTGAGCCCTATGTATGGAAATAAAATTGATTAAACTTGTTTGCATCAGGCTCTATTATCAGCCTGTCAAACTTAGATACAACAATGGGGAGAATTTTTTAATGACTAAAACTCAGGCTGGAAGAAATGAGCAGCATTTCCCTGTGGAGAGAATTCATAGCTGTCATCTAGACACTAGCCATGGGACCTGATACTTGCATAGATCACAGTATCTTGCTTAAAGAACACTTTCAGTGAGGTGGATGCTTCCTGTTTTAGGGAAAGTCTCACCTGAATAGCAACTGGCATCAGCTTGTTATCAGGTGTTTTGTGGAGCAGGACGAGGGGAGCCATCAAGTACTGTTTCTTTTCATGGATGTTGTTTGCTTTCAGTCCATCCAAACGCTTGTAGTCACACAGGAATATGTTGCCATTCTGTTGTGGTGAGGAAATCATTTTACTCACATGCATACAGTGTGGACTTTACATATACTGACTAAACATGTAGTGCAACATGCAGTCCCAAATGTAAAGCATCATGGGGCAAAACATGATCTTTTCTATTGCTAAGATCTATCAATGTCATGACAATCACCTCCATTTCATTTTCCAAGCTCAACTGACCACTGGGGAAGACCATGTCGTCAGTGACAGGAAAGTTTTTAGGCAGAGCTGAACAGCGTCGGATCAACATGGGGTTGACGCCATTTAGAAACTGGTAGGCAAAAAGAGCATCCTCCTTCCAGTGTTCCTGGACAAAGTCTGGATAAAGAACAGAGATGGACTTCATTGAGTTTCAAGCTAGAAAATCGTACTGTTATCAGCTTAACTGTACCTGTACACTACATGTGAAAGTTAAAGTGAACCAGACATGATCTTGATTATATCCAATTCAATACAATTACTCATCAATAAAAAACTAAAAAAATAATAGTAAAATACAAAAGGAATGGACACTTACAGTTGCCTCTCTGTCAGCTCCACTAAATTTGTGTCAAATTTGTGCTAAATTTGGGCTCTTTTTCCACTTTGCAAGTCTTGATGGTGCTTTTTGTGGTTGGCTTTGGATGGTGGCAGCATGTGGCTGCGAGTCACTCACCAGGACGAGGAAATCAACTCACCAGTATGTAAATTCTCCACCTGCCAACTTCTGCTAGCCAGCTGCTAGCTAGCCTGGTTTTCTAATGTAAACATCAATAAACATAAGAAAAATAAGGAAGAATGAGCACCAGCTGAAATCGCATTCTGCTAGCTGGACAGACGTTGGGAATAAACTGAATGACCTCCGTGCCACACCAGTTTCCAACATGATATCAGCAACTCTAATATTCTTTGATTCACAGAAACTTGGGTAATGCTGGACAGTGCCATTTAATTGTTACCATGCTTTATGATGAATAATGATCAATGTGTCAGTGGGACTCTGAGCTGCTGTCCCAGTCCTGCTGAGGATCACTGCTGTGATCCACCGCTCCACCCAAACCTGAGTTCCAGTGGAGCAACAACACATCCCGGCTATGTTGTCAGGGTCATGACGTGTGGACAGTTTAATCATTCTACAACCATGGATTACTAAAATCATCCAGAGACATAGACAATTATAAAGAAGCAGCCAACAATGGAAAAAGACGCAAACAAGGACTGCATTAGAATCACAAGTTCAAGGAGCTGATGAGACCACATTTCACTGGAGTTGTACCTTGTATAATTCCATGTCAAAAATACATTTTCTTGTTTGAAATTTTCTAAAAAAAAAAAAAAATCTCAAAAATCAACCTTCATTTTGATTTAAACTACACACCTGTACAGTTTCAAAAATTCATTTTACACGGTTGTGACACTATCATGTCACAAAATCTGTCCATAGACAGACAAACAGATGTAGAAACACATGGTACTCAAAACTGCTTCTGCAGTAGTTTCCACGACAATAGGTGTCACTAGAATCACATTTTGCCATGATCTGCATAGACAGCCCAAAGACCATCTTTCCGGCAGTGAAATACTTCTTTAAAACTTTAAGCATTTATTTGTTGTTGCTGGACATCTTCAGTAAGTATTTCATTGGAAAACAAGGCACCAGATAAACTAGCTAATTGTATCTATATTCTATGTAACCCTCAGAAAAAAGAAAGTTGAATCATTCATATACAAATAAGTTATTGTACCACAGACAGTGTTTGAGGGTACTGTTCTTACTGATGCATGGCCGTTACACACTACACACACAACTATTTGCTGTTGACCTTCATTAAACCACCCTAAAAACGACACCAGGCAGCTACAATACAGACCTCTACACACATCAGACTGGTAGGTCGTAACTCGATATTCTGCTTTTCTACAACTGAGATGTTTGGTTACCTGGGCTCATCTTCATCATCAGTTTGTAGAACCTGTTTAACCACGTTTAATGATGAGCTATGAGATCAGTGATGTGATTGGCTGAGAGAGTATTTACTGTAAAAATCACTACACCCACTGATCTAGACTAAATTCACCTTCACCAAGCCCTTTGCATGTTAAGTCACAGCACAAGATGTTCATAGAGACTCAAAATATTTTTCAGGAGAACACAAAAGTTTTAGGAAAGAACACAAAAGTCTCTCAGGAGAATACCAGAGTATTTATCTTTTTTCACCCATCTATATTTTCTCTTCCATCTTTTTTTTAACAATCATCTTTTTTTCCTCCTCCATCTTTTTTTTACCCATCTATTTTTTCCTCTCCATGTCACCTTACAACAATATATTGGCAGTATTTGTATTTACAGTATATTAGGGCCACAAGCCAACATTACCTTACACGGGACACAAACCCCAGTCTCCTGTGTGAAAGTTCTGTACTTAACCAGGTCATTCTCTCCATTTTAGAAAACTTTTTGACCTGGTGCTTTCCTATGGTTTCTGTGAGGAAGATTTGAATTTGGTTAATGTTGCGGTTTTTGATAATAGGACAGTGCTCTTCCAGGTTCCACTCCTCTCGCCTGACCCCATACCCACCACACTGATTTGCTCCTGCCTCCTAAATTCACTCTCTGTTCCACTTTTCTGCCAAGCTTTTAGATACAGGGGCATACGCATAGAGGACCTTGTTAGTGTTAAGAATATTTAATTGTTTGTTTGCTCCAAATGACCTCAGTGTCCTAAGGAAGTAAACGCATTTTTGTACCTAATATAATCTGCACTCCAGGATAAAGCAGGATCTACGTATGGAGATATAAATATATATTGAAATGTAGAAACCTGTTCAACCTTTGTTAGCTGTTTGAAAAAACTATGTTGACATCAATGATGGATTGGTTCATCTCTTATCTGTTAAAACGGTCCCTCTCTGTTACACTTGGATATGCCCCCTGCTCGTGTCCCTCTCATTTGTGCGGTCCCCCAGGAGACTGTTTTAGGTCCCCTCTTATTTATTGTGTTCATGCTACCTCTTGGGAGACTCTGGTGTTTATCCTATTATGCCTTACTGAAATTAAGAGTTGGATGTCCAAAACTTTTCCACAGTTGAGTGACTTAAAATCAGAAATAATTATAATAATTACATTTGGCCCAAGAACTAGACGGATTACCAACAATCTATTCTGGGTGCCTTATCTAATAATGTTAAATTATCATTATCATCATCATCATTATTATTATTATTATTATTATACATACATTATCAAGTATGACATTATGATGATACCACAGTACCTGATATGTCAGTCCGTTTGCACCAGAACACCCCTTTGATGTCATCAATACAAGTCCAGTTCTCCCTGGAATCAGCCAGACCTTTCAGGTACAGCTCAGCCAGCCTAGGAAAAAAAGCAAAAAGTAAGTTTACTTTAATTTGTTTGATAGGACATACACAGTCACATAGATATATAGATGTATGACAGAATTTGAGGACATTACCCAACAGCTGCAGTGAGCTTAAACTCTGCCTTCTTGATGAAGGAGAACTGGACCTCAGAAGGCAGATCAGAGAGGTCTTCTGCCTTCATGCAGTGGGGTATTCCCTTTATATGCTCATGCCAGCTGGGAAAAAAATATTAAAAGTATTTAAAGGTATGCAAGCAGTACTTGACACATATTCATGTAAATAACATTGCAATTCTGCAACTTACAGTATAATAGAATTGAATATACCCTGGCAGGTGTAACTACATTTTATATGGTAGGTAGTTTATCATTATATGTTATGTATATATTCAACCAAAGGTGGAAGCAGTTTGGATGCACGTTAGTTTTGGGGTGCATAAAGTTAAAATGTGAATAAGCTCTGAGCTCTCACCGATAGTCTTTCTCTCGCTGCTTCCTGTCCGGTTCCCATCCAAAATAATAGTCAAGAGGCAGTATTTCAGTAGGTACTGTAGCAAGAAAGAACCAAAACAAGCTTTATAGTTCTTTATACAGTATGTTGGAATTAATTTACTCCAGCCGCCTTACAGTCCAGCTTTCAACACTTGTCTGTCTTTAATGTCTTCTGTGGTCAGTGAACAGCGTACAGGATGTCAGACAAGCAAATTTGCACAAACCTCTTCCGTCACTGAAGCGGTGCACTTCACTGTCAGCACTCTGGCGATAGATGGAAAAGTTGTAGGTGTCTCCTGCAGGGGAAGAGAAAACAATGGTTTTGGAAGGGCTGTTTGTCTGGCTCTATCAGGAACAGATATTCAAAACAGAACAAAAGAGGTAGTTAACAAATATGAGGTATAAAAATAAATGAATCAGTATTGTGAGATCTTATAAGAGGCAGCATCATCACAAACTACTGAAGCAGTATAAGAGTAACACTCAAGGAACACCTACCTGGTTTCACTCCAAAGTCATTAAATACTGCTGCTTGAGCAGTGACTTCTGGCGTCAGACATTAACGGAAAAAAGTCAGCATGATACGTCACAGGGAAACACAACGGGACAACAAAATTTAAGACGGCAGAAGTCCTAATTTAGGTGGGCAGGAGGGGTGGAGGATGGGTCCAACAACCAACAACCACCAACTTTCAACTCGGAGGACGATGTCTGCTTCCCCTATGATTGTAAAGCCAAAACTTGTTCTTTTTTTCTAAACCCAATCACGTGCATTTGTTGTTTAAGGGGAAGAAAAGTCAATTCATGGTACTGTGCTGAAGTAGTGTGTTAATTTTGAAAGAGACTGTATGCAAACTGTGAAGTGAAGTGTATTGTGAAAACAGACAATGCATGTAACAAGCTTGAGTTGACACAGTGTCCCAGAACGTCAACAACCAATGCACCCAGGGTAGCTTGCATGTCATATGCGGAGGCGGAAAGTTCATGACCAAACGTCGATATGTGACAAGGTCACACTGAGAATGTATTGAGCACACAGACAGTACGTAACAGCATTATTAAAAATGGTACTGGAAAACCAGACAATCCAAATTATTCTGTAAAAGAAAACAATGTAATTATAAATAAAGCAAAAGAAATTGGCAATAAATGTGATGTATATTTTGTAAACACTGGAAAGAATTTAGCAAATGAGATTGTGGATTCAAGAAATAAAGATGGTGTAGATCCTTATTAGGGGTGTTGACGAAAAGGAAATACTTGATATTATTTTTAAAAAAAAGTAATAATAAGAAGTCCACTGATTTGACTGACATTGATATGTTGTTGGTAAAAAAAAATATTAGTGAGTATATTGTGAAAGCACTAGACTCACAAGTCAGTCTTTAGACGCTTTGCTTAACTAAAGACTGATGACTTTCTCCCTGATTTTGTGTTTAGATGGACGGATACAATTTCAGAGTTTAAAAAACTCCCTACGTTGCAGAACCAATAGTAAATCTGCAAGGCGGTCCTTTGGTGGCTCGCTGAACTCTTGTGCTTGTAAACATAATCCGACTAGAAACACGTGTAGAGGTACAAAATGGCTCAGCCGCGCTTGCAGAAAACGCCGTTAATGAATGTTTGTCGCGTTTGTGGCGACACATTCTCGCCAACTAAAAGAAACTAATCTTTTACAAGGCCATGACTCATCTGTCCGACCGGACTATAGAGGGAATCGCCTTGTTGTTTACAAATACTTCCGGGTAGAAAACCAGCAGAGTTTAGCTATATATATGTATATATATATATATATATATATATCACATTTTTCACATCACTGTATCACCGTTTAGACTAATCCGATGTTTGTAAAGTCTATAAACACAATGATTGAAGAAACATTACTATTTCTGTGTGCACGTTTAGCTGGGCTAACCGTTAGCTGTTAGCCTTGTTAGCCGTTAGCGGTATCTGTAATAGGTAATAACTCATTAAACGGTCCGTGAAAAAAATATTTTTTCCAGCGGATATCTTATTTACGACATGATTGAGCTAGCAAAGCAGTTTTGTGTTGCTATGTGTGGTATTTATTCAGTTTTGGGAAATCACAATGTCTAGAAAGCATCAGTGGCTGCAGCTGACAGGGACAGCTAACAGCAGCAGCAAAGCTAAGATCAGGACGTCATCTGTCAGAAGCCTCCCGTTGTCGGATACGACATGAAACTACTCCAGTTAGTTCAATCATGTTGTAACTAAGACATCCGCTGGAAAAAACATTTTCTTCACGGATGAGCACACGTTTGATAAAACAGAGTTAAATCTCTCGGCATCCATTTTCAAGCTCTGTGTGTTTGTTTCCTTGCGGATGAGAAAAGGGGGAGCGCACATTTCCGAGAAGGTGTGTCCTTTTCAAAAATGCAAGAGGCGTTGCTTTGTTGCCGGCCGTTTTCGCCGGTGTGTTCAACACACTTTAGAAAGGAGTGTCCCCAGACTATCAGAAGGCGGAGGTCTCTGATTGTCTGGTGGCGAGACTATGACAGCACTGACAAATAAATTTCACAAATTTAAAAATCATCAAAAGATGTTAAAATAGAAAGAGTGTATGAAAATGTATTATTTCTGGGTATCACAAGTAATCATAAGCTATGTTAGAAACTATCACTTTGATTGTAGAGTCCTAACTTTTATTTGTAGATGCAGCGTCAAACTGTGGTGTCTAACGGTTTGCCAAAACTTCCTTGAGGCCAACCGAAAGTCCTTCTCCATAGCTTCCCCGAACTCCTCCCATACCCAAATTTTTGCTTTAGCGACCACCACAGCTGCAGCCCTTCTGGCCAACCAGTAGCTGTGTGCTGGTTCAAGTGATCCCTGGGCCAACTAGACCCAAAAGGCCTCCTTCTTCCCCACACCGCCAGTGTCCACCAGTGGGTTCTTAGGTTGCCGCCACGACAGGCCCTGACAACCTCTTAGCAGCCACCTCCACGATGGAGGCTTTGAACATGGACCACTCTGATTCCATGCCCCCAAGATGGGAATTGAAGACCTCACAGACAGGGCCCTCAGCCAGACATTCCCAGTTCACCCTCATTAAGCATCTGGGTATACTAGGTCTGTCCGGCAGCCTCCCCTGCCATCTTATCGAACTCACCACCAGGTGGTGATCAGTTGACAGCTCCATTCCTCTCTTCACCTGAGTGTCCATAACACACGGCCGCAGATCTGCTGATATGACCACAAAGTACTCTGTACTGTCAGAGACCCACAGTTGTATCAAGGCGACATTCTCAGTCTCCGCAGAGAATCTTGTCTTTGTACTGTATTCAAATTAATATATAGTCAAATAAGATTTTCAAATCTTTGCATTCTGCTTTCATTTACGTCTTACACAGTAGGTGCGGTTACATGATGGCTTCTCATTCGGAATGAATTAAATCTGAATTAAATCATTCGGATTTAAAGTCTTTCCATTCCGAATGAGGGTTTATATGGGAGATCAGCTTTATTTGGGTCTGTGCAAGGTTTGGGGCAGAGAAGGTTTCTGACTGTATAGGGGGCGGGGCAATGTTACGTTTACCGGAAGAAAACACTATAGTCCTCGCTCCGGATAACAAGATGCCTGACGACGCCGTTCTTAGTGCCTTTTTCGGACTTGTTTTGCTTATATTCTTGAAGCAGCAGTACAACAGCAACCTTGTTCTGCTAATGCTTCGTTTGTTGAGGAGGAGAAGAGAGGTAGAAGGTCGAAGAAGGGAGACAGATGACCGTGCTTTGGTGAATGGAAACCGGTGAGTGCTCCGTGTCTGACTGCTCTATCTCAGCCCGTTGCTATGCACGCTGTATACGTCATCGGCAACGAGCATGCGCAGAAAGAACGGAATGGCTGTAATCGGGTAGGAGGTGTACAGGACAGAAAAACTCTTTCATTCGGGTTCTGAAAAGCAATATTCCACCTCTGTAAGTGTCTTTCCACTGTCACTTACTGCAGGTGCGTGTCGGTGCAATGAACTGACGCGCGCCAGGCTTGGCTCTCACAAGCAATGTCCAGATGTTTCCCGTTGCTTTGCTCAATTTATTTCTTCCATACATTTAAGCACAAGAAGGTACAGCACCTTGCTTTGTAGCAATTCTAAGCCTATTATTTAATACTGCTCCTGTCTGCAGACACCTCAGCCATGCCTCAGTCACGGTCAAAAAACTGTTTGCCTCTACACGCATACCTGGCCTCATTACCCTGGCTGAATAAATGAATTTCCACCGGAAGTTGCCAAAGTGCCACACAATACAAAATGTTTTTACAACAAAAATAAACACACACGTAGATAAATGGCTGTAACAACCCCTGTGCACCCGATTAGATTTTCTTTCAGGTTGGCTGTTTTTATTCGGGTTGAGGTGTTTACAAGGAGCATTTCTATTCGGGTAGGGCTTCCAACCCAAATGCAAAAGGAATACATGGCTCCATGTAAACACATGTACTGTTCCATCTTTTTCAGAATCAGGGTTGTACATGCTTTAAAATTTTGTGGTTTAGTTAATCTTAAAACTTAAAGGACAACAGTATTTTTCAACCTGGGCTCTATTTCCCCATATGTATGTGTGCGTATGATTCATGGGTACAACTCGTTCTAAAATTGGTTCAGTATTGATTGAGGCAGATGCAGCCGAGAGCCGCGAAACGAGCTAAAACGGTAACGGGGGCAAATGCGTCCCGCCTAAGTTTGCGCATTAAAAGTGCTTTTTTTTCGCCACTGACTGGTTCAGATCCCGATAAAAAAAAAAAATTAGACACCTTACCTCGTAATTACGAGGAAAGATCTCGTAATTACGAGGTAAGGTGTCTAATTTTTTTTTATCCAGTGAATGCAATGCGCTTCCACAGAAATTAGAGAGAACCAGTATAAATTTAGGGAAACAAGATTAAGGACAAATATAAAAACAATATCAGATGTAAAGGGGTTAACTTGTGGAATAGATATGACAGGAAATTAAGAATATGAACTTAACTTTGCAAACTTAAACATG